AAAGAAGACTATCGTCGCAAGAGATAAAAAAAAAAGATTAAGATACACTATGACTTTCAGATATAGACTGACCACTGCATCCAGGTATGAAATCCAGATTCGATATAGAAGCAAATAAGGAAAGGAGAATTGCGTGAACATTTAATGAAAGAGAAAATTTGGAATTTTATCATGACCAACCTAACGAGTTCTAAAACGTGTGGAGAAGTCAGAGATATAGCAGTAGTATTTGAAACACTTGGAACCATGACCAAAAAACAACTGTAAGTTAGATTAAATTAGAAGTTCGTCTGTCTAGATCCAACATGGCAGATCTCTGAGATGATACTGAAAAAGGCGCTAGATATTAGTCGGCTGATCCATATAAAAGCAGCAGCAGAAGCAGCAGTAACAACAACAACAATAATAATAATAATAATAATAATAATAATAATAATATCCTCTGAGACACGCCAATTCAAACTGACAAGAAATAATAGCCAACCTATCATATAAAACAAGAAATTCAGAAAGTGTATGCATATTGACATAGCAGTACCATCTGAGAGAACATCTCCATAAAAAATATCGAGAAATTGTTCAAATACAAGGACATAGAGATCAAAATTAACAGGATCTGCTGAATGAAAACTGAGACTGTACCATTACTAATCGGAGCTCTGGGTCTCTTGAGAAAAGACAATTTTACTAACAGTATTCAGGTAACATCAACATACAAAATGACCAAAAGATCGACCATCTAGGAACATCCTAAGAAAGGTACTATCAATTAAATGACAATTCTCCTATAGGGGCCTAAGGACCATAGTTTAAACCTGGTTCTACAGCACGCAAAGCAGAAAACATAATAATAATAATAATAATAATAATAATAATAATTATTATTATTATTATTATTATTATTATTATTATTATAGCGCATTATCCTTTTCTGATTTTGGAAGTTTTGATCTTCAAGGAACTAGATATTGTTTCTATAGAATTGAATATAATAAATAAATAATTGAATGTAAATTATTTGTGAACAATTTTGTTATGTATCATAGTCTATGAAAATGTCATTTGTTTTAGAATCAGAAATATTCTGGAATGTAAAAACTAAATTGCAAACACCTGTCATTTTTGTAAAAGTATAAGATGCGTATGCATATCGTTTTTTATTCAATCAAATAATGTAATAAACATTCACATGAAAAAAAAAAAAAAAAAGAAAAACAAAAGATTTATATCTCTTTTGATATATTTTCATGGAAATGTGGGGAAAATTATTTCGTTATCGGAAAAGCCCAGGAGAAATCGAAAGAAAAATCTGATTTTATCTGGCAACAAAATATAATGACAACGACACCAGTTAGGAAAAAAAAAAGGTAGGGGATTGGATGAGTCTTGGATAAAGAGTTAGCAATCTTTCTTTACCAACTATTACTACTTTATTGGCAATCAATCTCCGTGAGTACTCCAAACTTAAGGCTTTCTACCGAGTAAAATACGCTTTGTTAAATAAACGTGAATTCCTATCTTAGAGTTATTGTTCGTTTCGCTAAACAAGTGGAGTGTACGCAAACCTCGCTGAGTGTTAGTAAGAAGGGCGTTCCACTCTGAATTCTTCTTCTCAAGAATTATTACTTTATACAGCAGACTGCCATAGACACCCCGGAGTGGTGTAATGGTTAACAAGCTTGTCTAGATAGATCAGTTTCAATTGAAAAGTGTGTTCGATCCTCACCAGGTACGCCAATCTTTCGGCCTTGTGTCAAATCGAAGCTACGCTTAGAAAATAACCATTTTGGGCACCTCGAGGTGGAGTAATGGTTTGCAAGCTTGTCTTGTTCGAACAATTACGGCTGAGTAGTCAGTTCGATCCTCACTGGGTGCCCCATACATTCGGCTTTGTGCCACATCTGAGCTACGCTTGGAACATCAATATATATCAGATTTCCACGAGGATGTTTCTTCGAACATTTCAATATTAATTCTTCAAGTCTGGGGTCATTCGTTATCCGTCATATATTTGTAACCTTCATTTCTTTCTTCCTTCTTTTTGGTTCATGCTTTAAGTCGGTCTGTCTTTGTATTTTTGGGGAAACATTCGTAAAAAGAAATCAAACTGTAAAAAATATGATTAAATTGATATGAATATATTCAGATTGGTTATGAATCTGATGTCACAGAAAGAAGAATCTGCAATGTTATTGGTTATGACCTCACAACCCGGCTTCAATCACTTTCACCACCGACATAATGTAGCTTCCCTGTGCCTTTTCTATGAATACTTTCATGGTTACTATTCTGAAGAACTTCCGCTAGGGTACCTAGATTTTATGAATTTAAGTGCTGTACTCGATTGGCTGCAAGGTCTCATCATTTTACAGTAGCAATAGCTAGTTCTATCCGCAAGTTCCATGTTAACAGTTTCTTCTATTGCACTAGTCAATTGTGGAACTCACTTTCGGCTTCACGCTTTCTAGTCAACTTTGATCTTCAAAAATTTAAATGTAAT